GGATGTAAGAACTTCTGTCAGGTTTTTGTCTCCACTGGAATGATATTTCCACACTTCCAGTTCCAGAGAAACATCAAAAAGTTAAAGTGTGTGTATAGCCCCAACTTTCTTTCAGCTTTGAGTGGAAAATAATTACTTTGATTGCGGGAAGGATTTTATTGCGGTCTGTGCCCTTACTGGGGAGATTTACCTATCTATCCTGTAGACAATGGTCTACAGGAGGAGCAGGATTCTTAGCAGAACTGACGAGCGCTTGTTCCATATAGGACAGAATAAGGGAAGGCATCTGAAGGTGTCCATCAATGAAGAAGAACCTTACTCGTGTGGACAAATCAACAAGACTAACTCCTTCCCTGCAGAGGGTTCCCACAACAGGAGACTTGGGCATTCCGCTAGCAGGCAGGCCAGAGAGCCACAGGGCCCTCTATCAATGTCTGCCTGTCACGCATAGCTGAGAACCTCTCAGCTCAGACCAGTTCCTCAGAAAGGGAAGGAACAACATGTTCCACAGGAACATAAAATCAAAATAGATGGTAGTTCTCCGATGAGCAGAGGCAGGCCTCTGGGACTGCTTAGAGCCCACACCCACAACAATGAGGGCCGGGAGAAGAGGAGACAACCATCAGCAGACTGTCCCTAATGCCCGATGCTCCTGCAAGTTAGGAAAAATGAGCAACTCCCTTTGCGGAGAAATCTGAGGGTAAGCTGGAAAACATTGCCCACAGATGACACTCGCAAACAAAACGCCAGTGAAACAAGCTGGATGGCTCATGCAGGTGTTCGACCCTTGGGGAAGATGCGGACTACAAGGATCCATGAAGCAGAATGTCTTTGCCGGAGGTCATCTGAGTGTTTCTAACAGGTGTGTATGCACAACCTAGTAGGTCAGGAGGTCTGGTCCCTCTGGAAAGAAGCAGATCTGAGAAGTACTATGAGAACCTTAACATGTTACAAGGGCAGGTGAGTTTCCTGAGGGAAAAGAGTGGTGGTCCAAATGTTCCAGGTACAAAGCTGATACGTGGTGCCTGGAGAGCAAAGGGTCCAGGGGCAGGAGAAACCCAAGGAGGCAGAGAGATAACATGTGCAGTAGCACAAGAGTAATAAGTAGGAGTAGTTGAAGGGGACAGAGGCAAAGTGTTATCCTGTGAGCCTAATTGAATGCCCTTTGCACCTAAATGCCGGAAGGAAATTGCCCAAGTTTCCTCCAGTGTATACAAA